ACCAGAGCGCCTATATATATATATATATATATATGTGTGTGTGTGTGTGTGTGTGTGTGTATGTATATGTATATGTATATAAAATATATAAGGAGCTCTGGTGGCATAGTGGATAAAGCTGCTAACTAGAAGGTCAGAGGTTCAAATCCACCAGCCACTCTGTAGAAAGAAGATGGGGTGATGTATTTCCATAAAGATTTACAGCCTGGGAAACCCAATGGGAGTCACATAATTTGGAATTGACTAGATGGCAGTGAGTTTGGTTTTGGTTTTTATACAAATACATATTGTTCTTGTTCATACAAGAACAATTTTTTTCTTTTCATTTTTATATTGGGCAAACCTGCCTTTTGTTCAAGTTCATCATGAACTGAACTTTCCATTGGCACTCTTTCAACCTTGATATTCTTCAGAAGATTCATGAAAGTATTATATTCACATATAAGTAAGTAATAGTTTTACAATTTTTTTTAAATAGGGTAGTTATTATCATGCCTAAAATGTATTTACTCATATTTTAGAACTATGAAAGTTGTTGTTGTTATGTGCTGTCAAATCGGACCTGACTCATAGCAACCCCTCCTTGGGTTTCTGAGGCGGTATCACTATGGAAGTAAATTGCTCAACCTTCCTTTTGAGGAGTGGCTGGTGGGTTTGAACTGCCAGCCTTCTGGTTAGCAGTCAAGTGCCTTAGGCACTACACTACTAGAGCTCCTGAACTATGAAAGAGTTGATAAAAAACTCTGAAAGAGTTGATAAAAAATTTATAGCTCCAATAAAATAACTTTCAATACTGTCTGCATGTAAACATGCTTAACCAATGTGAAAAGTAATCAAAATAGAGTACTCTGAGATCTTTATTTTGTAAGAGGTCTAGCTATTTGTTGACATACTTTGAAAAACAGGATGTTTTATAGTAGTAATGTACCTCATAAGTTTATCCAGAGAAGGGAACACTTTACATAAATTATAAATTCCTATAGGAATGCACACAGGTAACAAAAGACAAAGTCAAGAAAGCGAAAGGACACAGGTGCAGTAAACTTTTAATATTCAGTTATAGAAGAGCTATTTTTTTTTTCCTTTTCTTTCTATTAAACATAAAACTGTCTGCCATATGGCTAAATGATCTCTCAACAAACTTCAAAAAAGAAAACCCATCTGAAGTAATTAAAAAGACCAACACTTAAGAACTACAAACAAGAAAACAAGTTCTGTGTGTTTGGCATTTTATTTTAATGGCTTACTGTTGCCTGGCATTGCTTTTCAAAAGGATGACAGATGGTGTGCAATACTATCAAGACACATAGAAGTAAAATAACACAAACACTGGAGACCAAGTGCTTTCTTACCATTTCAGTGGAGAAAATACATTTCTCAACTATTTTCAACTATAAATAATTTCTTAACTATTATCCTAGTTGGAAAATCATTCACTGTTTATATAATGAATGGAAACAAAAATTTTTCATAGTAAAAATGTATTTGCTTTTATTATTATTTAAAAACAAAAACAAAAACAAAAAACAACCCTTCATCAAAACAAACATGATAAGCCAAGGCCTTAACTGTCATAACATGATTTTCTAAAAATATACTTTGGTAATAACAGGTTAGTATAAAAATCGACCTAAAACTGATTAAGTGTACAATATAACAACTCTAATTATACTTTCAATGTTATTCTTACTTCTGTTCCAATTTACCAACCTTCTACATGACAAATCAATAATGGAATCCCTTTGATATCAAGTCTTCCATGGTAACAGCATAAGGACTAAATTTAAAAAGTATCTGTAAATTATCACTGTCTTCCCTCAGAGTATTTTATATTCATATTTTTGATCACTACACCAGGTTCTTGAGCTTTGCTATTTATAGTCACTTGGACAATTTAATCTCTTTAGAATTAAAACCTTGCTTTGTCTTATTTTTGCCTTTATTATCATGAACTTTTGAAATACCTACCTCTTATACTAAGGGACATAAATTTCAAACCCAACCAGTGGTACCATGTAAGAAAGCTCTGGCAATTTTCTGGGGTCAATGAGAATTTGGGGTAATATTTTTATTCCATCTTAAGTTCTTTGCTTAAAACTGGAATGTGTAAACTCAGGCAAGGTATTATTTTTGATATAAAATTAATTAATAAATATTTTATTCCATGATATCAAAACATCAGGATATTAACAATAATGTAATATGTATGATTTAAAGGATGCAAACCTAGGAATGACAAAGGTGATATTCTCACTAGACAATATGGTTCCTTAGTATAAGAGGTAAGTATTTTAAAAGTTCATGATAATAAAGGCAAAAATAAGACAAAGCAAGGATATGATCTTCAATAGCCAATAAGTTGAGAGAAAAAAGCTATATGACCAATTAGCACTGGTAGTATGAGGAACAAGAATGTTGAAACTGAAGCAGAGGTATTTAGAATTTAAGTCAAATTACTTATTAAAGATGGAAGGTCCCTAGATGGTACAGTTTGTGTTTGCCTATTAGCTGAGAAGTTGATAGTTTGAAACCACCCAGAGAGGTCTCAGAAGACAGGCCTGGCGATCTGATTCTGAAAGGTCAGTGTCTTGACAACACTAATGAAGCAGTTCTAGTCTGTATACATGGGGTCTCCATGAGTCAAAATCAACTCGATGGCAACTAAGAACTAACCTAAAAGCTGGTGGTTCAAACCCAACCAATGGTACCATGTAAGAAAGCTCTGGCAATATGCTTTTGTTAAGATTATAGCCAAGAAAACCCTATAGAAGCAGTTATACTCTGTAACACATGGGATCTCCATGAGTCAGAACTGACTTGAAAGTAACAGGTCAATTTTAATTAGAGAAGTGTCTGACTACATGATAGAGAACGTCATCTTGGGATGCTCACTGACAGTTAATATTTGTGATAAAAAGAAACATAAGAAAGTTAGAGATTAATCATTATGTCAATGTTCCTTTTTTATTTAATGTTAATAGTAATATAGTCTTAATTTCCAACATATAGTCTTCAGTATATAAAATTTCTCACTAAATGTTTATCACATAACTTTTAACAAACTAAATTAAGATGTAAACTTAGATAAAAGCAGAACGTACTGTACCTTGACTTCTGTTCTTTTGAATGCCAGAAAAGTTGTCTCTTGTTTTAGTTTAGTTTCTGGTTTCTTAACCAATGGATCTTTGACTGCTGGAACTACAGAAACAACTGTGGGGGCCGGTTTCTGTGCTGGTTTCTGAGTTTTTTGAGCCTAAAGAAATCAGTATGTTAAATTAGATAAAACATCTCTTACTTGAATGTACAAAAATAAAAATAAAAATAAAAATTTTATCATAGGACTCATGGATAGAACTGAACATTTAAATTGACTAAGTTAAACATGTAAAAAACATGGTGAAGATACTGAAAGTATAGACTTTTGGACAAATTATTTTTATCATTGTCATATTAATGGTTTTACAGATTTCATTACTTCTAAACAGTAAAGATAATACTAAACTTTAGAAACATGCAGATTAGGGTTGGTCAAATATTATTTTAACAAGATAAACCAAATTATTTCAAAAATGGAAAATCACAAACTAGATATATAACCAGTTAGCTTCACTCATCATGAAGTGTGTTTATGTCTCATTATGGTTGGCCAAAGATTTAGGAGTTTTCTTTTGTGTTCCAGTCATAAATGTAACTGAGAATGAGTTAAAAAGTAGTCTACCACAGTTCAAATCAATTACACAGTTTTAAATAAAGAATGAGGAGAGTAAAAGAAAAAAATAACAACAAAACTAGCAATAAAAGATGAATTTTTTTTGAGGTTTTCCACACTGCAGAACCAGGCACATTGAATACAACTTACCTTAGAGAGTTCATAAATGCAAACTTCCATGTTATTAAAGAAAAATTTGAATCCAGTCTTCTTTAACAATTTTAGTTTTTATTTTGATCAATATTTGACTTTCTTTCCTTTATTTTATAATCAGGCACTTAATTTAATTTTCTTACAAACTCTCCTCATTTTTCAGTCTATTCTTTATTATTTTCAAGGTAGATAATCTTAACTATGTAGATAGTGCATTGTAGTATTTAAGAGCACAGCCTCTACAGTAAAACAGACCTGGGTTAAACCCCAGTTCAACCATCTTCCTCACTATTTAACCTGGGCTAAAATTTGTAAATGTCTAAAAGCCTAATTTTCTTCATCTGCATCAAAAGTGGATTATGAGGATGAATTAGGATTATATAGTTAGCATAGTGTCTGGCACATGGTGAGCACTAACAATAAGAGTTACCATTTATTCATCATCAATACTTACATAGGATAAGAAAACTGAATCCTAGCTAAGGAAGATGCTTTCAGCCATTCCACTGTCTTTGATAACCCTCATAAAATCATGTGGTACTATACCAGGGAATGTATTATTTATCTATCCCAATTTCTAGAAGCCAAAATTTGGCCTATTTTATCCTCATTTGTACCTTCTTGTGCTATAGTTTGTCACATTATGTAATTTTGATTCTCCAGTCTCAGTTCATCCCATTTTTAACACTATAGACCTTCCTTCCTAATTAAAGTATATATATTTACCTTCAAATTTCACTTACAAAGCAAATCCAGATCAAGAATATTATTAAGGATGTAAGAAGATTACCTAGAGTAACAGCATCTTTACTAGTAAGAAAGGAGGGCCATTTTACCCTGTACTGTAAAACTATGTTATAAGAATGTAGCCCTCAGAGTTCAGGCGGTTCCTGGGTTATGAACATCCAACTTATGTACAATTGTATTTAAGAACCAACCCCTAAAGCCTCAAAAACAAACAAACAAAAAAAAACAACCCTCACTGCCATCAAGTCGATTCTGATTCATGGCTGTCCCCACTGGGTTTCCAAGGTTGTAAATCTTTATGCAAGTAGATTGCCCCATCTTCCTTCTGTGGAGCGGCTGGTGGGTTTGAACCGCTGACCTTCTGATTAGCAGCCAGATGCCTTATCCACTACACTACCAGAGCTCCTTCCCCTAAAAGCCTATTATATTAAAATTAGAAGTATATACATGGTTCATAATAATAAATGGGTGCTACTTTGTGACATACATCAAAGGTTATTATTATTATGTAAAAGATGTTTTAATATATTTGGAAGCATTTCTTTAATGCTTTATGCATAGAAAGGTACACTATATACTGTATACCAAGCATCATTTGACTATCTGAAGTTAGACATGAACTGAATCTAACTGTTCTGACTTTTGTACAAATTCAACTTAAAGACAGACTTAGGAATGGAAGTCAAGAAATATATGGTTCCAGAACCAAGGCTTTCAAACTTACACTGACCTCCACCAAGCTTACACTGACCTCCACCAATATCTACCATTCCAGGTGTTAGACTTGGAAGAACAATCTAACTTCTATGTTTTAGCAGATGAAGACTTATTGCAATGAAGCTGCTTAGTTTGGATCTTCTTCTGCTCATTCTACTTCACTTAGCCATTTTAGAAACTGATCAAGAAATATGAACCTTTCATCTTTTGCTGAATATTTTTATGGATTTAGAAGGGATATTTTCACTAACTCAGTGCTGCTCAACAGAGGCACTACAATTTTTCACTGGGTGACTGCTTCATACATTGCAGAACCTACCCCAGTGGAGAAATAAGTATAAGAACAAAGAGGATGTTGGGCGCTGTTTGTAGTATCTTTGAGATTCCTTAGAACAAACAATAGGTAATGAATATATGAGAGAAACTCAATGAAAGAAATTAGTTAGAATTATTGGATTTACTATGCTGTTTCCAAATTCCTCTCATTAAACTTATGTTTACTGGATCTTGATATCAGGCTCACTTTTAGTTCATACCTTTTGGTATCTCCCCAGGCCTACTCTCGGTACTGTGATGTCTTAACATTAGCCACAACTCCACATTCAATACTTGATTCTCGGACACATGGACTGAACCTACTGATTAATTATTTCTGGTACTAATTCACATTTCTTCCATTTTCCCTGTCTTACAATGAGTACAACATGATGTTGTATGTGTCCAGTCCTGGACTCTGATCTGGTATATGACAATGAATGAGGCATGGTTCTACTGATAAATGGGTGAGATACTTAATTTGCAAAGCAGACAAAGAATAAAACGTATCTCAGATGAAGGGAAGAAGATGAGTAGCAGAACATGTGGGAACATGAAAGTATACAACATATTCAGAATGACACACTTCATCTGACAGAGGCAGAATGTGGGAGTATATATGGTGAAGTGGTGTAAGAAAAGGCTGGAAAGGTAGACTTGGGTCAAATAGAGGTCCACATATTCTGCCCTAAGGTAATTGAGAGCCAATGAGCATATTTCAGCATATAAAGTCAGATCAAGATTTTAGAAGAATAATTCTAATTGTAGGGAAGCAAGATGATTACGAGCCTCTTAAGAGGCTATTGTAATAGAAAGAAATGAATTTGTGGAACAGGGTAATAAGAGGGAAAGGAACAAATTTGAGCAATATGTAAGGGGTAAGATTTAACAAATTTGGCACACAAAGGGATATGGAATTAAGATAGGAATCAAGGATAATGTTTTCAAGATCAGGCAATTGGGGAAGACTGGTGGAAGAAGAAAACAATTTTAAAAATATTGAACTTAAAATACCTGTAAGATATCTAGTCAGCAGCAGAAGCTTACTCTAGAATGAGTTAGAACTATAAATACAGACTGGGTGTAAACTAAGTCATAAAAAATGGGAGAGAAAAACATGAGGGAGAATGGTGCTCACCTTAGCTTTTAAAAGAGTTGCAATGAAATTAAAAAAAATCAAACTCTGAAATATACTGAACATGGAAACAGTACTATGACAAAATCATTATGATTTTTCACTATTACCAATCCTTTGTCAGTGGCTTCTGCTGAGGCCCTGGAATACATCATATTGCTCACTTGCAATAATTTTGGTCAAGGTCCTGGAGGGTTAGTTTAAATAATAAATTAAATAAAATCAACTCATCAGAAAAACTGTACCTTGTCACAGAAATTTCTTGTTGTAACCAAAAAGTATACATACCACTGAAATTTTACTACTTTTCATGGGATTAAATAAAATAATTTGGTATATCAAACTTATTAAAAAGTAAAATGGTACCTTGATTTTTTTATTTTTAACTAAATACTTCTGACTTTGGAAAGATATATTTAGTTAGACAAACTTATGTAGAAATCTCTAATCTGAAGCAGGGGAGGAGACATGAAAAAGTAAACAACAGAGAGAAAGTCACCAAAGTACACAGCAACTTTTTCATTTTTTTAAAAGGAAATTCATGAAGTTCATTAATCTATCTTTTAAATGAATAAAATTTAGAAAATTATCCAATATAATAAATGAAAAACAGTTCAGTATGATATTAATGAAAAATTATGTTAGTGAGCAGAAAAAAGCAGACAAAATACATTGAAAGAAAATTAAATAAATGGTCACCCAAAAACAACGAGCAGAAAGAATGAGGAATAGAGAAATAAATAGAAAGATAAGGTGTGCACCTATAAATATGACCTCTGTACACATCTTTGTAAGGTTGGTGGTTTAAGGTCAAGTGTTAGGAATATATTCCATTATCAGGCTCACCAAAGACTAGGACATTTTTTTTAATCTCACTATTTTATGGTATTTTTAAATGTTTATAAATAAATTGACATGCTGGTAAGTAATATTCACATTTTGTAAGACTCCAACACTATTTCTTTGTCTATACTAGAATAAGATGAAAGCTAGGTTTGTAACATGGTCCTTTATAAATATTTCAATAATCAGATTACATAGTTTATTTTTAAATGTTTAAATGTTTATTTTAGAAAGCACATATCAACAAAAAAGCTACAGAGGCTGTTTAAAATAGAAAAAATATATGATTCCTACCATTCTTTTCATCTGTCTGGTACATCGAGCACAATACCACACCAGGCGAGGGTCATTAACTTCCTTATCTGTCACCTGGGGCTTATGGCAATCTTGGTGGTAGAGATTATGGCACTCTTGACATTCTACTAGTTGATTACCAGAAGCCACTGTCATTTGCCTAAAAGAATATATCATTATGGATTATACTTTCTTGAATGTAATGATTTGAAGCCATAACAGGTTTGTTCTGGTTAATTTTACAAATTAAAAAAGAAAAAAACACCTAGAAACCAAAGAGCAAAATAACGCAAATCTCTACATGCAGTTTGAACAAGCACTTCATTTCTTTCAAAGCTTATGCTCAACCATTACTAAATATTTAAGGTATCTTAATAATTAAATTTGGCTATATTCTCCTTGTAACTTCTCATGATAATTTTTTTCTTTCTTCCAGAAAGTAGTAGACTTTGGCTAGTCTTCCAGTAGTCCCATAGCACTTTCTTTGTACTCCTATTAAACTGGCATAGTGCCTAAGGCATTTGATTGCTAACCAGAAGGCCGGTGGTTCAAACCCACCAGCCACTCCTCAGAAGGAAGGTTGGGTAATCTACTTCTGTCGTGATAACGCCTCAGAAACCCAAGGAAGGATAGCGACCATCGAGTTGGATCCATCTCGATGGCAATGAGTGTGTTACCTGTGTGTTTTTCTATTTTCTTCATCAATATATGAATTAACTAAAAGCAGGAACTGCAACTAATCAACTTGGTGCCAAGTACATTACAAAGAAATGATGTTCAATAAAAGTCTAATCACTAAACAGAAAGTAGCAATATGTGTATGAAAAGGTAGAGATTCCTGTATCAAGCAATCATCATAGTTTTAGACAATTATAATAAGTCTTCCTGATAGAGTGTAGAGTTACTAGTTTTCTCTCTATTATTACTTCATCTTTTTTTTTTAATTTATAAAATGATATCCTTAAGGTTGAAATAAACCTAATATATGTGAAATCAATGATGCTTTAGCAAATGATCCTATTCAGAAGCATATTAACTCATACTTTATAAGGTTCACAAAAGCTTATAATTATTTACTCAGTCCCAATGGCCCAGAATTAACATTTTTATGAAGAAAACAGCAACAAAGACAGCAATCTTTTTTGCTGTGCTAGGAATTAAAAGGCATTAACAGTGAAAAACTTAGCCCTTGATTTCAAAGAGTTCTTATCTAGTTATGTCTAATTTTTAAAATGTATCCTCCATCAAGAAGAATTACCAATTTTTTTATAATTATCATTCATGTTTCAAACAACACTCAGAATAACCTAGATGATCCATTCCTTTTATTTCCATTGTCCTTAGAAAAGAAGGTGCTTAATGGTGTTCAGGAAATGGCATATAAGAGTTTATTTTTGTAAGTGCTAATAAAAGTTCTGAAAATAAAAAGAAACACAGACTTCTACAAAAGAAAGATGGAAATAATTGGATTTGCTGAACAGACTATCCCTAAACAATCAAGCAATAATCACTTTGCCTCTAGAACTCAAGAAATCAGAAAATGTTACTATAACATTAACAGATTAAGTGAATCAGAGTCAGGAAGATAAAATATTTGACAATTTAAAAAAGTTTAATTGTGATGTGGGCAGTTCATAAAGTATAATCAACTTATCTTTTCTCCACTCCCAGGTAACAAAAAGAAAATATAAAACACCTAATGATTGGCCTATTTTTTCTTTTTCTATTGCTTGCTCTTAAGAAAAAAACAAAACAAATTATGGCAAGGCCCAACTTACCTGCAAACAACACAGGCCAATCCCATCTCCATGGCAAAATCATCGGCACTAGTCTCCTCAAAACTGGAAAGGTCAGCCATAGCTAAATCCTTGCTAGTTTGGACAGTAATGGGAGAGGACCGTGTTTCTGGTTTCTCCAATCTAGGTTTCTTTGGAACATCAACTCCTTCACTTACGTCTGATTTTATCTATAAAAAGCACCCAATAAGAAAATAATCATGAACGTTACACAGCAAAATAAACTTTAAATCATGGAGAGATGGGTAAGATGGACATACGCAATGAAAAGTCCATTTACAGATATTTTCATATAACTAAGGACAGATGTGCACACTAAAGATCTGTGGAAGACTTATGATGAATTTATAATTAGTGGTTAAAACAAACCAGCAAAGTAGAAATAAATAAATCAGGATAGTTTATCATGTATTTGCTTTTCTCTTTGACCTTTTATCCATTCGAGAATTCTGGAAGTTCAGTGGGTTTGCATTTACTGCCTTCTGCCTTTTATTTTCCCATCAATGCTTTAAAATGAGAAACCGCAGTAATCATAACATTTAAAAAAAACTCAATTAGATATTTTAAATCATCAACTACTAATATTTAAAATGCAGTCTGTGGGTGGTGGAAATGGCTAACACGCTTGGCCAATAACTGAAAGGTCGGAGGTTCTACTCCACCCAGAGGTGCCCTGGAAGAAAGGCTTTCGTGATCTACTTCTGAAAATCAGTCATTGAAAACCCTGTGGAGCACAGCCGTACTCTGACACACATAGGATTGCCATGAGTGGAATTAACTCAATGGCAACTGGTCATAATATTTAAAATATATTGTAAAGAGGTAAATAATGAACTATCAGCCACCTAGACTTAATACATTACCATATTTGCTTCAGTACTCATTCTAGGTCAAATAAATGTAACATATACACCTGCCAAATTGGTAAAAATTAAGATGCAGGAAATTTAGAACTCTTATACTAGGTGTGAGTATAAATTTAGTACAGCCACTTTGGACAGCAATTGGCAATACCCGGTACTATTGAAGATGTACATATCCTATAATATCCACTTATAGGCATATATTCTAGAGAAACTATTTAAACATATGAGCAAAGAGAGATGTATAAAGCAGCTCACTGAAGCTCCTCTGCAACAGAGAAGAAAGAGAAATAACCCAACTGTTCATCAGTAGAGATAGATAAACTGGTTTATTTACAGAATGAATATTATGTAGTAGCTGAAAGAAATATCTAGATCTACATGGGTCAAACAGACAAATCTCAAAACCACAATGTTGAGTGGAAAAAAGATACCAAATGCAATATAAATTTAAATATATAGAAAACAATGCAATATAGTTTATGAATTGACAATGCATGAAAACATCTAAAAGGAACCAGTTACTAAAGTTTCTAATTCTTTTTTACTAATTGCTAAAGTGTTAATTAGTATGTGCACAACACATCCAAAATAGACAATCTACATCTATAGGTTCCACTCTTGTGAATACTATTCTGTAACACATTTTAGGTTTGTATTTACATCTTTACTCTTTACTGTTTATCTTTTTTCTCAACAACTGTTCCACTTAGAATCTCTGAGTTATGGATTCAAGTTTACAGTTGAAATTACTACATCTTGTAGGGCTCAAAATACCTGACAATGATTTTGGTAAATGGTTAAAACATATGTTTCTAAATTAGTCATTTCTCAAAAACTCAACATCTATAGCACATAACAACAACAACATAGCAATAAAAATACATTTCCTGACTAATTACTATATATCTATACTCACTGCCATGTAACAAAAGTAGGCATAAAGAAAGCATGGTTTCTGCCTATGGAACAACTAATTTACTATGTTTTCTGACTAGATTAAAATAAAATCTTACTTTATCAGCAGGTCTCTTTTCAGCTTCCTTCTTTACTTTTTCTGTTGTGAGGGCCTTGCCATTATTATTGCCAGAAGGAAGACTAGATGAACTTTTGGGCTCTTGCTTAATGGAAATAGCTTTCGTGCTTGAAATTTTGGGTGGCTCCACATCCTAAAAAGGGACATAAAAACATATAGGTAAGTAAAAATTTAGATTATCTAATACATCACCAAAAAAAAGACCAAAAATATAAATAATTTTTAGTGAAAAAGTAAGATATCATGTAGCTACCAATATATACTCTTTTCTTTAAACAGCTTTACTGAGAAAATTGATATAAACTACACCTATTTATGGGAGCTCTGGTAGCATAGTGCCTAAGGCACTTGACTGCTAACCAGAAGGCTGATGTTCAAACCCACCAGCCACTCCTTGGAAGGAAGATGGGGCAATCTACTTCCATAGTGATACTGCCTTGGAAACCCAAGGAGGGGTCACTTTGAGTCGGGTTGGACTGGATGGCACATAACAATACCACCTATTTATACAATTTGATGAGTTTTGACATATGTATATACCTGTTAAACAGTCACCACAGTCAAGATAATGAATATATCTTTTTATCCCCCAGTTTCCTTGATGCCCTTTACAATTAACTCTCTTATAGCTACCTACTCCTCAACCCCTAGCAACCACTGATGTGCTTTTTGTATCACAGCTCAGTTTACATTTTCTAGGAATTTGTATAAATGAAATCATACAGTATGTACTCTTTTGTGTCTAGCTTCTTTCACTCAGCATATTTAATTTGAGAGTCATCCATGTTGCTGAGTGTATTGAAAGTTCATTTATTTCTGTCAAATAGTATTACACTGAATCGTACTGATGGACATTTGGGTTCTTTACAGTTTTTTGCTGTTACTAACAAAGCAGTTATGAACATTTGTATACTAATCATTGTGTGGATATATGCTTTCATTTCTCTTGAAGAAATATCTAAAAGTAGAATGGCTTGATCATATGATAAGTATATGTTTAAGTTTTTAAGAAACTTCCAAACTGTCTTCCAAAGTGGCTATACCATTTTACATTTCCACCAGGAATATAAGAGAATATGAATCTCTTTACATCCTCATCAACTTTTAGTGCAGTTAGTCTTTTTAATTTCAGACATTCTAATAGGTATCAAAGGAGCTCTGGTGGTATAGTGAGTAAGGTTGGCGGTTCAAACCCACTAGCTGCTGTGTGGGAGGAAGATGAGGCAATCTACTTCCATAAAGATTTACAGCCTTGGAAACCCAATGGGGGTTGCTGTGGGTCAGAATCTACTCAATGGTGGTGAGTTTGGTTTCTAATAGGTATGAAGGAATCTCTGGTAGTGCAAATGGTGAATGTGCTCAGCTGTTAATTGAAAGGCTGGTAACTGGAGCCCACCCAGAAGAACCTTGGAAGAAAGGCCAGGCAATCCAGTTTGGATTGGGGGGGTAGTCATCAAAAACCGTATGGAGCCTAGTTCTACTCTGTGACATGGGGGCATCATGAGTTGAAATTGACTCATTATCAACTGGTATGGTTTTGGTTTTTCAAAGATATTTTTTCAAGTGCTATCTTTTTTGGTGCAGTGTCTACTATTCATATATATTAGGT